TTTAAACTGGCGTCTTTCATTTAATATATGCAATTTAAGCTTCCTCCATGTTTTTTCATGGCCTGATAACTCATTTCTTTTTATTGCTAAGCAATATTCCATTGTGTACATCACCACAGTTTATCTATCCCTTTATTTATTTCAGGACATCTTGGTTGCTTTCAGTTTTGGGTGATCACAAATGAAGATACTACACAAATTTGTGTACAGATTTTTGTGTGAACATACATTTTTAGCTTATTTGGCTCAATACCCAGGAATACCATTGCTAGATCATATGGTAAGACTGGTTAGTATAGTAAGAAACTGCCAAACTATCTTCCAAAGTTGCTGTATCATTTTGTGCCCCTGCCAGCAATGAAACAATTCTTGTTGCTCCACATTTTCATGGGCACTTGGTGGTGTCAGTGTTTTAGATTTTGGCCATTCTAATAGGCATGCGCCAGTTTCTAATTTTTTTTTTTTTTTTTTTTTTTTTTTTTTTTGAATTGGAGTCTCACACTGTTCCAAGACTGGAGAGCAGTGGCACGCTCATGGCCACCCCAGTGCCAACCTGCTGGGTTTGGTGATCCTTCCACCTCAGCCTTCCAAGTAGCTGGCACCACAGGTGTGTGCCACCAGGCCCAGCTGTTTTTTTATTTTTTGTAGAGACGAGGTCTCGCCAAGTTGTCCAGGTTGGTCTCAAACCTGTGGGCTCAGGCAATCCGTCTGTCTCAGCCTCCCAAAGTGCTGGGATTATAGGCCAAGCCATTGAACCCAGTCAATTGTTTTCTTTTGTGTGTGTGTGTCAAGGTCTCACTCTGTTGCCCAGGCCGGACTGCAGTGCCCAATCACAACTCACCTCAGCCTCGACTTCCTGGGCTCAGACTGATCCTTCTACCTCAGCCTCCCAAGTAACTGGAACTACAGGCACATGCCACCATATCCACCTATTTTTAAAATTTTTTTGTAGAGAGAAGGTCCCACTATGTTGCCCAGATTGGTACTGAACTCCTGAGTTCAAGTGATCCTCCCACCTTGGCCTCCCAAAGTGCTGGGATTATAGGCATGAACCACCAGGCCTGGCCTAGGTTCATTCATTGTAACAAGTGCATCACACTAATGCAAGATGTCAGTAATAGGGGAAACTAAACTGGGCGTGGTGGCTCACGCCTGTAATCCCAGCACTTTGGAAGGTAGAGGCAAAAGGACTGCCTGAGCCAGGGGTTTGAGACCAGCCTGGGCAATTTGGAGAGACCTCATCTCTACAATAAATTAAAAAATTAGCTGGGCATGGTAGAGCGTGCCTGTAGTTCTGGCTACTTGGAAGTCTGAGGCGGAGGGATCACCTGAACCCAGCAGGTCGAGGCTGCGGTGGCCATGAGTTGCCACTGTGCCCCAGCCTGAGCGACAGAGTGAAACTCCAACTAAAAACAAAAATAGTGGGGGGAGGAACTGGGTGGTGGATTGGGGGATGGATATGTGAAACTCAAGTAGTCTGTAAATCTAAAACTGTACTAAAAATAGCATCTATTTATCTTTTAAGAAACATGTTGCCAGGTGCAGTGGCCCATGCTTGTAATTCCAGCCCTTTGGGAGGCAGAGGCGAGAGAATTACCTGAGCTCAGGGGTTCGAGAGCAGCCCGGGCAAACTTGGCAAGACCTCGTCTCCACAATAAATAAAAAAATTAGCTGGGTGTTGACGGCACATGCCTGTAGTTCCAGCTACTTGGAAGGCTGAGGAGAAAAGATCACCTGACTCCAGCAGGTGGAGGCTGTGGTGGCCATGAGTGTGCTACTGCACTCCAGCTTGGGTGACAGAGTTAGACTCCGACTCATTTAAAAAAAAAAAAAA